ACCTCTTCCGCCGTGTGAGAACACCGGGAGAAAACGACCATCTGTTCACCAGGGAGAGGGCTCTTACCAGACACCAAATCTGCCGATGCCTTGATCTTGGACTTCCAGCCTCCAGAACCACGAAAGATACGATTCTACTACTTGCAGGCCCCCCAGTCTGGTATTCCGTTATAGCCGCCCAGACAGACTAAGACAGCCTGTTTTCAACTCTTTGGGGTGTGTGCCTTGGAGTGAACGGCAAAGGTGTGTAACCACAGAGGGGGAGGTGAAACAGCCGGTCCCGGAAGTGATGATGTGGTGGTAAAACCGTTTCAGGTGTGTTACAGCCCCTCTCCTTACTGGGAGAATCCGAGTTGCTGGCAACGAGTTTTGGTGTGACGGCAGATTTGGGGTGCGTGGGGTGTGAGGGAGGACAGTGGGGAAGTGGGAGGTTACAACTTCCCCACACAGAGCAGGTCACTTCCTTCCTCCTGGGCCCCAGAGCTGTCACTGTGATGGCACTGCCTTTGGACATAAGTTCTTGGCTTTAAGTTTCCCTACCGACTCAGGGAGGATCTGAGCGCCGGCCTGGTTGCGTTTTCTCATCTCCTGGCGTCTCCTGTGATGGCCTCCCACAAGCCCTCCTTCTAGAAGCTGTCACCAAACTGACTGAAAACCGTAGTTTTTCAGATTCTGGATGTGACATTCATTCAGTACAAAAATATGGAAAGTAGGAAGTATTCGAGATCTTGCACCCTGGCACATGTGGACAGTTGGGCTCAAATTAACTCTTATAAACATTCTCAAAAAAAAAAAAAAAGAGGAAAATGTAGACCAGGAAGGGGACGCTCCCAGGTCTGGCCTGCCAGCCATTGCTGCTGGCGTTTTGGTGCTCAGTTCCAGCCAGTGTGCTCGTTCTAGAAGTCTCTGAAGACTGCCTTCCAGGGGAGCACTTCGCCCAGTGCTCACGTGCCCACCTCCCCAGCAAGAGCAGGCGAGTTTCTTTCACATGAGAGCAATTCACAAAAAGCAGAACTGCTGCTCAGCCCACACCCGCTTACTCAAGATGGTGACAGCTTGGAGTCCTGTAGGAAAATATTAAATATGTCCTTTCACAAGTTAGATTCCCTACTTTCTTGTTCAGATCAAGGGCTAGCAAACCTCTTCTGGGCCGGACGGTAAGGATTTTAGGCTTTGCAAAACAGATGATCTCCAAAGACGCAACTCCGCCACTTGCAGCATGAAAGCAGTCAGAGGCACATGCACATGAATGAGCGCAGCTATGTGCTAATAAAACTTGATTTACACACACAGAGGAAACAGGCTGGATTTGGCTTGAGGTCTATGGTTTGCCAACCCTGATGTATATCTTTTTCAGAATTTGTTCTAATTTTCAGCCCAGGCATAGTTGAGAAGCAGCTACACTTTTCTTTAGAAGTTGGGTTGAAGTCAATGAATGAAGCTGAGAAAGGTGGTGTTGGCTGAGGCAGGGGGAAGACTGGGCCTGAAGCATCAGAGGTTCTCCCACGGGGGTCAATTCTAACACCCAGGCCACTGGGCAATGTTGGGACACGTTTTGGGATGGGGGAGTGCTGCTGGCATCTGGTGGGTGAAGGCCAGGGATGCAGCTCCTCACCCCTCAATGCATAGAAGCACCCCCCACCCCCACCCCCCCACACACAGAGCAATCTGACTCTAAAAATCAACAGCCCAAGGCGGGGACACGGTGACGTAAACATGAGCATGATCGTTTAGAAAGCCTGCTCGCTCGAGTTCCGTCGTATGGATTTCTTAATGAAGATGTCATACACGCGGATGAGAAAACATTTAACCGAACTGTTAAAGGAAGGCGAAATGCAACAATAACAAGTGTCCCACACCCCTCAGGGTCCCCAGCCCCTCCCCCTCCCCCCACAGACATTATCTCTCTAGGTTTTTACTTTTAACACAAATTGCTCTGTGCCCTATACACTTTGACCTATTTTCATTTTTAAAAATCTTGGAAATCTTTCCACATGATTCTATAATTTGTTCCTTAAATAGCTTTTAGTTCCCAGCACAGCCGCGTGTATCTGACCCACCATCGCTCACTCCGAAGCACTCTGGAGCCCCTGCCGAACGGAAGCAGGCAGCAGGCCAGTGCCCACGGGGCTGGGTGGAGCAAAGGTCTGCATCCAGCATTATGGGCGTGAGTGGGGCAGGGGACCCCCTGCCAAGTCCCTGAACACTGAAGGACCCCAAATAAGCTGCAGGTTTTACCTCGGTTTAGGGAAATTTTAAAAGCTAGAAGGCAGAGATTATAACGAGAATGTGGTACTAATCCGGCTCATTAAGATTAAGGAGGCAGTGCACTTGGAGGTCCCGGATCTGTCTCTTGCTTCAACAGTGTTTGGACGGAACAGACCTAGGGACGCCCCTTCTTCCAGCCTCTAGCCACTCTCCTGCGTCTCCTCCACTCACCACCTTCAGGACCACCCTCGGGACCAGCCAACACCGGGTTTCTTCTGCCTTAAACTCCTTATTGCCGAACAACCATGAGCTCCCAAATTCGTCAGAATTATTCCACCGAGGTGGAGGCTGCAGTCAGCCACCTGGCCAACCTGCATCTGCGGGCCGCCCACACCTTCCTCTCTCTGGGTTACTATTTCGACCGTGATGATGTGGCTCTGGAGGGTGTGGGCCACTTCTTCCGCGAGTTGGCAGAGAAGCAGGAGGGCGCTGAACATCTCCTAAAGTTTCAGAACAAGCGCGGCGGCCGCATTCTCTTCCAGGACGTGCAGAAACCTTCCCAGGATGAGTGGGGCAAAACTCAGAATGCCATGGAAGCCACCCTGGCCTTGGAGAAGAACCTGAACCAGGCCCTTTGGGATCTGCATGCTCTGGGTTCTACCCGTGTATACCCTCATCTCTGCAACTTCCTGGAGAACCACTTCCTGGATGAGGAGGTGAAACTCATCAAGAAGATGGGTGACCACCTAACATCCGCAGGCTGGGCTGGGCAAGTATCTCTTTGAAAGGCTCACCCTCAAGCACGACTGGGAGCCTTTGGAGCCCAGAGGCCTTTCCGAGCCCCGCCCCCTGCACCCCCTGGTGTCTCTGGCTTTTACTTGAGCCTCTTCCCAAAACTATTAGCCATTCCTTTAACCACCCTGGAGCCTTCTCCCATGCATTAGACCAAATGAGACAATAAAGCTTTTTGCAACAGTTAAAAAAAAAAAAAGACTAAGGAAAGGACGGGGTTCCTGGGGTGTCTGTACCCTGCTATGGACCCAAAGCTTTTTGCACACAAATGGCGGGAACAGGCCAGGGGATAATGTTTCTGGGACTCAGATACAGGAGCTCCATGGGGGATCCCTAATGAGGACGTCATGGACTTGGAAACATGGGAATGAAAGGGTCGGTGTGTGGATGGAAACTGGAAGGTTTAACCCACCTGTGGGAGAGGCTGTGTCCCCTTGACCTGCATGGATGTGGGAATGGTTACTACCGTATTTGCCGGTGTATAAGACGATTTTTTGGCCCTGAAAAATATGCCTCCAAGTGGGGGGTCGTCTTATACGCCAGGTACACTTCAGATAGACTGCCCATAGTGCTTGCCCCGTGCCATAGTGGCCTCCCGATGCCCGCCCACTTCATTCCACATACCGTTCAGGCATCAGCAGCACTGCTGGGTGTATGCTCGGCTGTTATGCGATTTTGCTGTTATGCGATTTTACCCCACTTTCAAAATCGCACACAGCCGACCATACCCCCAGTATGATAGCGCAAAATCGCGAATCGCGATACCATACTGGGTGTATGGTTGGCTGTGTGCGATTTTGCGAGTGTGGTAAATTCGGGTTACCGTATATTTCTTTACATATGCATTGAAGATTCGCGATTTTGCGCTATCATGGTGCCTGTTAGAATGTTGAAGAGCTCGCACTTGCGCACTAGTGAGGTCCCAGGGAGATGCTGATGCAAGGGTGGACCAGACTGCTATAGTGACAGGGCGGGCAAACAGGGAGCAGGGACCAATCAAATCAGGCTTTGTATACAGCCAACAGCCAACCACAATACTGCCCCATTGTACAGTACAGCATAGAAAACGTCGACCAGTCAAACCCCTATCATCCCTATCATGGCACCAAGATGTCGTTGATGAACTTTTAATATCAGATGATGAAGAGGAGTTTGAAGGCTTTTAAGGTGAAACTGAAATTAAAATGTTAAAATCAAATCTGATATTGTTTTACCTTTTATTTGGTGTGTGGAAGGTGTGGGGAAGAGGGGGTAGTCTTATACGGCGAGTATATAACAAACTCTGTATTTTTGAGTGGAAATGTTAGGGGGTCGTCTTATACGCCCAGTCGTCTTATACGCCGGCAAATACGGTACGTCTGACTGGGGACTGCTTCCCGACCTGCAATTATAGCTCCGAACACGCAGACAGGAGTCAGGTCAGGACTGTAAGGGGTGTAGGAGTGAAGGTGAAAGTGTGCCTGTTTGTACATGTGTTAGATCAAGATGCATCTCTCTTCCCAGAATGCAGGGCGGGGATGGATGCTGCATCTCACCCGGAGCACCACCCCTCCCGTGTCGCCCGCAGCAGCCATGTCCACGGAACCCCCAGAGCACCACCCCTCCTGTGTCGCCCCGCAGCAGCCATGTCCACGGAACCCCCAGAGCACCACCCCTCCCGGTGTCGTCCCACAGCAGCCATGTCCACGGGCACCCCCAGAGCACCACCCCTCCCATGTCGCCCCGCAGCAGCCATGTCCACGGGCACCCCCAGAGCACCACCCCTCCCGTGTCGCCCCGCAGCAGCCATGTCCACGGGCACCCCCAGAGCACCACCCCTCCCGTGTCGTCCCACAGCAGCCATGTCCACGGGCACCCCCAGAGCACCACCCCTCCCGGTTGAGGACCAACTCCTCACCTGCTTCGGACATTAAACAGAACCGCCCCGTGACTGGAGGAAGGAATCACCTTGAGAGTGAAATAGTGTCTCCCCTGCTTCCCCCTTACATAGAAACCAAGGCTCAGTTGCCAAACAGTTTATTTCTTAATATAAAACAAGATTATCACACAAAACCAGCTGTAGTGCTGAGCGAAGAGACTAAAGTGCGTGAGTTTCCGGAACACCACACCGGTGCCCTGGCACAGAGGCATCCTGGACAGAGCTTTCTTCCCGAGGGTTTGCAGAGACCCCACCTGGGCTAGGGCCACGGCCTGCGTGCGGATTCACCATGCGCAGGGCTTGTCAGCACCTGAGAGGAGCGGGCTGCTGGCCTCTCCCCAAGTGTCCCCTCGAGTGTCCTCCTCATTGAAATACCACTGGCGGGGGGCCACCGGGCCCTGGGCCTCTTCCCAGACCTCCTGGTTGATTAAGGCTGCCTCCTTGCTCACTCCAGCAGAGAGTTCCTGCACCTGGGCAAAGCTCCTGTGGGGATAATGGAAGGGATGATGCTTTCTGCACCCCGTGCCCGAGGGCCGGGAGGAGCCAAGGCCCCTCTGCCTTCGCCAAGGTGGCAGCGCAGAGGCAGCGGGTCCAGGTGGATTCTGCCCGAGCATACACGGGGAAGCGCAGGTCAGTAAGCTGTCTGAACAGAACACTAACAGGGAAGCCCCCAAGAACAGGGCCAGGCAGGCATGAAAGGAAAGATTCATTTGTTCAAGAAACAAGTGTGGCCCCGTGGTTGAGCATTAACCTATGAACCAAGAGGTCACGGTTCGATTCCAGTCAGGGCACATGCCCAGGTTGTAGGCTCGATCCCCAGTAGGGGGTGTGTAGGAGGCAGCTGACCAATGATTCTCTCTCATCGTTGAGGTTTCTCTCTCTCCCTCTCACTTCCTTTCTGAAAGCAATAAAAATATGTGTTTCTAAAAAGAACTGTGAATGGGGCAGTATCCCAGCCCGCCCTCGAAGTACATGGGGGTGGGGACACAGGTGTTAAATGAGCACGTTTAACCACTCAAGCCTGTGACCTCTGCAATCCAGAATGCTCTGGTGTGTCCCCATTTCATCCTGGGGCCAGAAGAAGCTAACTCCACAGCGGGTGACATTTGATTTCCATCATCACCTTTCAAATAGTCATCTCAGGAGGTATGTTTAGCATTGTAAAGGAGAAGAAAACAAGATTCTTTCTGGAACACGTGGAAGAAAGCTCCATGGTTAGAAATCCCCTGGAGTGAGAGAAGAAAACCAGGGCGATTACGGGGGGCTGGCCTAGGGCTGGTTCCACGTGGGCACACACTGGGAAACCCCTCGAGTTGTACCACTACAATCTGCGCCTTTTCTATATGTACTTATACTCCAATAAGAAGTTCCAAAAAGATCACCCCAGGCCCTTACCCTGGAAAACATTTAAAACATGAACAGCCCGATCCAAGGCGCCCGCAGTGCTGTGTGGTCCCGAGGAGTGAATGAGGGGTGAGGCCATTGCCCTTTCTATTTTGGCTGTTGGGGAACCCACTTGAGGTTTCAGGTGGGCTGAAGGCTTTACCCCCTCCCTTCTCCCTGCCTTGCTGGACCCTGCCATGCCAGGGCTGCCCGCTCTCTGCACAGGGCAGCTGCCAATGGCACATCTCTGTCTGATGGGAGGCTATTTTTCTTCTTTTTTAAAAAGTAATAGTATGTAAATACACACACACACACACACACACACACACACACACATATATGCTATCTTTTTCTTAAGATATGTTTTTACCAATTTTAGAGAGAGGAAAGGAGAGGAAGAGAAACATCAATTGGCTGCCTCCTGCACGCCCCCTATTGGGGATTAAGCCTACAAACCTGGGCATGTGTCCTGACCAGGAATAGAACAGCAACCGTTAGGTCCATGGGACGATGCTCAACCAAATAAGCCACATTGGCCAGTCTCTCCCCACCACCTTTTACTCCTCACTGAGGATATACTTATTGATTTTAGAGAAACACTGATGTGAGAGAGAACATTGATTGGTGTGCACCCCAAATGGGGACCAACCCGAAACCTTTTGGTATATAAGACAGTGCTCCAACTGAGCCACACCGGCCAGGGTGCTATCTTTTTCTTAAAATATTTTCTGAAATACCTTCGGAGCTCCAGATCCTTCTTTTGGGTCATTTCCTTCAGTTCACCCAGCAGGTCTAGTACTTTCCCGTTTTCTTCTGAACTGCAGACTCCAAGTTCTCCCAGCAGATGGTGTGTGGTCGTCAATTCCCGCTGCAAATCATCTGAGGAGGGTGGGGAGAGGGCATCAGCCATGGGCTTCACGGTGCCCCAAGCAACCCACGCGTGAGCGAGGTGGCTGGCTAGATTGTTCTCATTTCATTGGAACGCTCTCCTGTTACGAAGGCTCAAAGGCTGAGAGGGTCATGAAGGATGACATCCGTGCACTGGTACCACCTCTGTGCCCCTTTGCCTGAGACCATGGGTCAGGCGTGTCCACTGTCCAGGCGGTCATTGGAACAGACCTAGAATGCCACTCCAGCGACCCCAACAGAAATGAATGCTAAAAGTGGGGAAAGCCTGTTCTGTGAGTAACTTAAAAAGAATCCCATGGTGCCCTTCGATACAGTACCTCTCGCCCCAGTAAAGTATTGCCTACAACTGCGCTGTGTCCCACCTGCTCTGGGGACACCAGCGTCTCTCCAATCCTGGCACATGTCCATCTACCAGCTACACGTGTACACACATCACAACCAAACATTTTAACATTTTGGGAACCTTATAAGGGTTCTTACGAACACACCTCTTTCCCCCCAGTGTGGTCTAAATTGTGTCCTCCCAAAAAGACCTGTTCAGGTCCTATTCTCAAGTGTCTGAATATGACCTTACTGGAAATGTAACTGAGTTAGAATGAGGTCATAGGGTAGGGCCCATTCCAGTAACTGGGGCCCTTCTAAGAAGAGTGAGATTCAGATACGGAGGCACTCAAGGGACGAGGCAAAGAGCAGATGGGGGCAGAGACTGGGGTGACGCTGCCAGCAGCCAAGGAAGCAGCTGGGAGAGAAGCCTGGAATGGGTTCTCCCTCAGCACCTCCAGAAAGAACCAACCATGCCCACACCTTGATTCTGGACTTCTGGCCCCTTGAACTGAGGGGGAATACGCTTCTCTTGTTTTAAGCTACCCGGTTTGTGGGCCTTTTTTTTTAATATATTTTATTGATTTTTTACAGAGAGGAAGGGAGAGAGATAGAGAGCCAGAAACATTGATGAGAGAGAAACATCGATCAGCCGCCTCTTGCACATCTCCTACTGGGGATGTGCCCGCAACCCAGGTACATGCCCTTGACCGGAATCGAACCTGGGACCTTTCAGTCCGTAGGCCAACGCTCTATCCACTGAGCCAAACCGGTTTCAGTATGTGGGCCTTTGTTACAGCAGCCACAAACAACTCATACCCTTTCTAATCCCAACTCCTAGCAATTATCTAAGGAGCTTTTCTGAAACAGAGTCCAAGAGGCACAGATGTGCCACTGACTGCAACAACCATACAACAGGAACCCCAGACACAGATAGTCATTCAACAGGCTCACTTTTCAAGATCCCATGGCAGACATATATTATTTCACATTGGAAAAGGCTTGATTTTATTAAAAACCATCTTTGTCTGGAAGTTAATCAGTCATTGCTTAAGGCTGAGAGATAAGCAGCGATGGGAAGTGACAGCTAATAGATACTGAGTTTCTTTTGGGGGAAACAAAAATGTCCTAAAATTAGAGTATAGTAATAGTTGCACATCCCTATGAATATATTAACAATGAACTGTACACTTTAAGTGGACAAATTGTATGGCACCTGAGTTGTATATCAATAAAGCTTTTTTAAAAAAATTTTAAGTCTCTGTCTGAAGCTGCCAATACAGCAACACCCTTTGGGATCCTGAACTGCCTTTGTGCAAAGTTCTGCAGGGAAAGTCCGCCTGATTTTAGGTGGCGATGTTTTACTACATCAGCAAAACATATTTAGAGGCTCATGAGAGCTCTGCTTAGAAATAACCAAACTCCAGGGCAGCTGAAAACCTGCTTTAGGAAGACAGCTGTTCTAAAGAGAATTTTGAGATCAAGCACAGCACTTCACACCTGCCCATTTCTTTAGGTGAAGGACTAGATGGGACCCCTCTGCAGGAAAGGGATCCCTTGGCTCTGTGTAGAAGGCAGAGGGAGGGGGTCTGCAGCCCTATCACTGCCCCATCAACAATGCACCTTAGTAGAGCCCCTCTCTCAAGGCTGTGGGGTTGCAGGCTGCTCCCCAAGAATGCCTTTCAGTGGGGTAGGACATCAACAAGGAAACCACAGGCCTGGGTTCCAATCCCAGCATGGCTCTTCCTTGGGGTGCCACTCTGGACAAACCAGTCTGGCCAGCACCCTACATCCTGTGCCATGTGAAGGGGGACATGCCATCTACCTAACACGAGGCTTGTGAGGACGCCATGAAGGAATAAAGGTGCCGGCACACAGGAAGTGCCAAACCCGCTGGTGGTTCTTCCCGTTCCTTGCCCAGCAGATGCCCGTCCTACCTAAGAACTTCTGCGCGCCTCCCTCCAGGTGAACTGATCTCACAGGCAGCTCGTGCCTCGTGGCGTCCAGGGCCGTCGCGAGGGCCTTGTACTGCTCCTTGAAGCTTTCAGACACGGCCGCGTAGGGGCTCAGCATCTCGATCTGCAGCAGGAGGGAGAGGGCCGATGAGACGAGACCGGCAGTCACCACCCCGGAAGTTTCACACTTGGCATGTGTGAGGGTAAGACACGGGCTGTTCTTTCGGGATCTGGGGACCCTCCAGGAGGTTCAGCAAGTGGGTGGGCTCTCCCCTCACTCCTGGCCACCCTCCTTGCCATGAACATGCATCCACCTGCCAGCGCACTCCAGGGCCAGCCCTCCGTTGGGAGCACAGGGGACCCAGGAAGGCTGTGCCCTCCTGCTTTGGAGCACCGAGCTGAAACGCCTGCCCCCCTCAAGGCCATCCTCACCAACTCCCCTTTCTCTCATACACGCTATCACAGGGCACTGTAAGGATTCATTATTTGTCTTTTTTTTTTTCCTTCCACTCGTTTCTCAGCCCACAGCCTGGGCACATGCATGAACATGTGCACCACTGGGTGTCACAGGCTGGACCCCATAATTCCTCGGTTGACATCCAAACCACCAACCCCTCAGAATGTGACCTGATTTGGAGACAGGGCCTTTACAGAGGGAACTGAGTCAGTGGGCACTGATCTATTTTGCCGATGTCCTCGTAAAGAGCGGAGAGTTGGAGACAAACACGCATGCACATAGCGGGAACACCAAGTGAAGAGATGGAGAAGACAGCTTCCAGGCCCAGCAGAGACCCAAGACACATCCTTCCCTCACAGCCCCTGGAAGGAGCAAACTCTGCCGACGCCTTGATCTCGGACTCCAGCCTCCAGGCTGAGAAAGAGTAAGTGTCCACTGTTGAAGCTGCCCAGTCTGTGGGACTTCGTCACGGCAGCCCCGGGACATGCACACACTGAATGAGGAGCTACGCCCCTGACCAGCCCTTCGTTTCCAAGGGTTTGTTCCAGGATCTTCCTTGGCGTGGACGACTGTGTCCCAGCACTGACCATATGGTGCCAAAACTGTGCCTTCCACCTGCACCCTGGCCCCCTGGGCAGGCCTGAAGCATGTCTTCCCATCACTAGGCACAGCTGTGGGCACCTGAAGGCTATGTGTGTGCCAAAAGGACAGGTCCCTCTGCAGGCTGGCACCTAACATTATGGGCACATCCTCTTATAAACAGTTACATACCAATACCCGCTGGTGTCAAAAGCCAAGCACAAACTTAGAGCCAGGCCAGGGGTGACAGCCACTGTAACTAATCCCTCCAAACACCGCGATGACCAGCGGGGACACACGGCTCAGAGACCCTGCCACCACTGACCTGGGGGTTGAGGACATCCATCAGTTCCCGCTTCTTCTGACAGAGGAGAAGTTTGCGCTTTAGCTCGTGGGCCTTTTTCAGGAGCTGCTGCTTCTCTTGGCACACCGTTACTAAGTTCCTTTCTGCCTCTTCTTCAAATGCTGCGAGGCTGTTCTCCATCTGTTAGGTGTAGAACAAGAGCTCAGGCCGGAGGGGACTCCAGCTCTTGGCTGACAGAGGCTGCCCTTCCGCCCAGGTCACGCATAACGCGGTTCCATTTTCACCTTCACGGTTAGTAGAGTCAGGAGTAATGTTTGGGATTCCATCAATTCGGAGAGATCCTTAAGAAGAAAGAAAAGATACTCTGGGTCCCCAATGAACTGGTACATATCCAGCTTTCTCCCCGGGAGGGAAAGAACGCTGATCCACATGCACTTTATTTATTTTGTTCCACCTGCTGTTTCTATGATCTCGTTTAGCCTTTCTGGGTGCTCTGTGAGAGGAAAGAGGATGGTCTGCCCCTCCCACTCAGTGCTACTCTGGAACCAGGACTCAAACCTCCCACCCCAGTGAGACCGCAGCCTGGACCTCTTCCTGCCCGGGGATGGGTCCGGCCTCGCACCTTCCCTAGCATGGCACCGCAAACAAGGTCCCAATCTCATTCTTCCCATGATCCCGCATTTGTATCTACTCCTGTATGTGTTCTTGTAGAAACAAACTCTTTAAACAACCTAAGAATGTGTGTTGGCTTGCCCTAACTGGTTTGGCTCAGTGGATAGAGCGTCAGCCTGTGGACTGAAGGGGCTCAGGTTCGATTCCACTCAGGGGCAAGTACCTTGGTTGCAGGCACATCCTCAGTAGAGGGTGTGCAGGAGGCAGCTGGTCGATGTTTCTCTCTCATCGATGTTTCTAACTCTCTATTCCCTCTCCCTTCCTCTCTGCAAAAAATCAATAAAATATATTTTTTTAAAAATTAAAAAAAAAAAGAAAAGCATGTGTGTTGGCTTTTGTCCTAAAAGGCATGTTCCTGGAGCCCCAGGTTTCCCATAGCACCTGGCCCAGGGCAGGAGCTAAAGCAGATTTATCCGACCCATTAGCACTTCCCTCTCTTTTCATACACTTACTGGGTCCTTTTCCTGTGAGGCAGAAAATGATGTCGACTCGGTTTTCTTTGACACTTTTTTTTCTAATTGTGGAGTCTTTCTGAGCATACTTTTGTCTAAAATCAAGGAAAGCATTTTTAAGGTGAGAAGAGCACCTTTGCAGCTTGCTAAGATGCACTGCCACCCCCAGCTGGGAAAACAAGGGGTGAAATGAACAGTTTACCATTGATGGCTGAGAGATCCAGGTGCGGGGGGGCGGTGCCGTGTCCTTCCAGCAACGTGGACTGCAGGTCGCCTTTGTCGAAGATCCCACTGCTTTCTGTGGGCTCAACGAGAGTCCCTCAAAGTCAACACAGTCCCTAAGAGGCTCTACACCCAGGCCAGGAAGCAGGCAACCTTCTGGACAAAACCACTTGCTTCTAAAACTAAGCTTCTTGCTAGGTAGTAGAGAAGGCAGAAAACCTTGGGAAATTCCCAGCCATCAATTTGAATATATTTTAAAGAACTAGACGAGGAAGGCATTCTGTAAAACCCAAAGATGTAAGTCTTTCTACTTAGTTTAATAAAAGTTGCTGTGTGCACAGTATGAGCCTAATACATGCCATGTATTTGTTCTGCCCTCAGCTCTTTCTCCTTCTTTCTCCAGCAGCTTCTGGAGTGTTCATCTTCCCAGGAGTCCCCTTCATCCTTTAGCCTCTATTTAAAACTGTGCAGTTATGCCTTACACCATCTGAAAGGGGCAGTGGTGCACTGCGTTAATTCAGCAAGGCCCCCAGAGTGCTGCAAAACCAGCAGCGGTATGTCAGATACAGACTGTCACGTCAGGAACTAAAAGAGAAAACAATTTCATGAGCAACTGTGCAGCTGAGAAAATAAATACGAGGAAATAAAAACAGCAAAGTCACAATAATGTGTAGGGCAAGGTACTGATTGTGTGAAAACTTTTACAAAATTCTAGATAGACGAAAACTTATCAAGAGCAGCTGCCTCCTGGGTGAGAAGCTGCAACCTGACGTGGAAAAGGATGATTTTTCATTGCTATGGTTTTTGCACAGGTTAAATGTTTTGTCATCTGCATGTACAGTATTTCCATTAGAAAATGTAATTTCCTAAAAATCCATATGATAGAACTCAAAAAACAGTCCTTCTACACCATGGCTACGCTTGAATTCTGGTTTCTCAGCCTTGGCACTGCTGACATCTGGGGCTGGGTAATTCTTTGCTGTGTGCTGTCCTGTGTACTCCCAGGTGCTGAACAGGTCCTGGGCCACCACCCATTACACCGCCTTCTTCTGCAACAACCCCGGACATTGTCCAGTGTCCCCTGGGGTCAGAATTGCCCCAGCTGAGAACCCTGACTTTAAAATGTGGCAGGCCCCGTTTTGGGCCCCTCAGGCCATGCTGTTTCTCAGCTTCATGCAGGGCGCTCAACTAATTGCACAAGAAAACACTAGAAGATGATGCCTGCTTCTCAGTCATGCCTGCGTCAAGGAACAGTGCAAATTCTGACAAACATCTAACCTAGTATCAGCACACTTACAGCTTGCAGGCCAAACCCAGTCCACTTCCTGTGTTTGTTAAAAATTTAATTGGGCCCTGGGTGGTTTGGCCCAGTGGATAGAGCGTTGGCTTGCAGACTGGAGGGTCTCAGGTTCGATTCTGGTCAAGGGCATGTGCCCAGGGTATGGGCTCAATCCCCAGTAGGAGGCGTGAAGGAGGCAGCCAATCAATGATTTTTTTTCTCATCATTGATGTTTCTCTCTCTCTCTCCCTCTCCATTCCTCTCAGAAATCAATAAAAATATATTTTTAAAAAAAGTTTTATTGGGACACAGACATATTCATTCATGTATGTATGGTCTGTGGCTGCTTTCATGCTGCAAATGGCAGTGAAGTCTTTGTGACAGAGAGTGTCTGTCCTGCAAAGACTAAAATATTAACCATTTGACCCAGATAAGGTTTGCTGACCCTTGATCTGAACAATAAAGTTGAAAATCTGTAATTGTAGGAGAACTCAAAGCTGCCACCATTTTGAACAAGGAGGTGAGAGCCAAGGAAGAGTTCTGCCCTTTGTGAATTGCTCTCATGCAAAAGAGCTGCCCAATTTGCTGTAGAGATGGGCACGTGAGGCACTGGACAAACTGCTACGGTGGGAGGGGCCCTCTCAGACTTCTAGGTGAACACACTGCCTAGAACGGAACACCAAACCCACCAACAGTGATGGTCGGATTGGCAGATTGTGAGGGAACTTTCCCTCCTCGTCTACATTTTCCATTTTTTTAAACAATGAACACATGCCACTTCTAAAATCAGAAAAACTGAAATCTTTTCATGTCACTTTGGTGACAGCTTTTAGATGAAAAACACAGGGAGACCATTACAAGGAAGACGCGACCCAAGGCAGTGAGAGGCAGGAGGATGAGGCCTCGCACCTTTTCTGGTCCTGGTCATGGAGCTCTGGCGAAAACAGTCCCTCGGTTAAGGGACTGCTGCCACAAGGAAGAGTCATAATGGCAACTGGGCTCCTCTCTGGGGTCACACAGGAAGGAAGAGACCACCCCACTCCCCTGCCACCCCCTTTCAGCTCCCCACATGCCCCGAATCTGTCCTTACACTTTGCCCAGCTCTTTCGTCTGATGCTTCCAAGAAAGAAAAGAGGGACTTTTAACTTGAAAACATAATTCACCAGCACACTCAACACTTGCTAGCTCCACGGCTGACCTGCGCCCTCCCCCCATCGTACACACCTTTGCTCTTCTGGAGGGAGCTGTGTTTCCTTCCGCCTTCAGGCATCTTCCCGCTGGTCTTTAAAATATCTGCTGCAGAAGCCTGTTGGGAACACACGACACTCAGGGCGCACAATACTTTCCCTTCATGAGAAGGGGCCCCTTCACGTCTGCAAGGTTGGCATCTGCTCATACTTTGAGGCAAAGGACAGGCTTAAGGAGTTCTGACATTTAATTGCATACATGCAGGTCAAGCTACTTTTGTCAAAAAGGGTACCCTCACGTACACAGAACATAGGAAACCACCACAATTTTTGTCAGTGACTATCTCTGACATGGCAGATTACAGATGACTGATTTTCTGTATACTTTTTAGTACTTGCCAGTTTTATAGACAGACTATATTACTTTGGTCATCAGGAAAAACCAAGTTTTTGTACAGGTATTAATCTTCAAAACTTACAAAAATCAATGGGGAAAAATCCCCAGGTGAGGATTAACAAAAAATAAAATAACATAACATAAAATAAAATAAGGTAAGATAAAATAGACTACTACATGCAGCAAGTAGACACACGGGGGCGCTGTAACCAAGTTTGCAAGACAACATTAAAATTATGAAGTGTGGACTGTGGTCCTTTGTTGAGTATCACTTCAACACTGTAAACTACAGATTTTAGGTGACGATATGTCAACGTAGGCTCGCCAATTGTAAATATGCACCACTTGGTACAGGATGTTGATTGTGGGGGAGGCTACACATGCATGGGGTGGGGAGGTACCTTCTGTTCAATTTTGCTGTTAACCTAAAACTGCTCTAAAAGTAAAGTCCAAAGAAGATGTGGTAAATATACACAATGAAATGCTACTCAACCATAAGGAGAGGTGAAATGCTGCCATTTGCGACAACATGGATAGACCCTGAGGATACTATGCTAAGCAAAAGAAGTCAGTCATAAAAGCTAAGAACCATATGATTTCACTCATACATGAGATACAAAACTCACAGACACAGACAACAGTCGTCACCAGAGGGAAGGGGTGGGGAAGGGGTCAAAGGGACCAAACATATGGTGATGGAAGATGGTTTGACTTTGAGTGCTGGGCACACAATGCAATATACAGATCTTGTATCATAGAACTGTACACTTGAAACCGATATGATCCTATTAACCAATGCCATCCCAATAAACTTTTTTTAAGTCCATTTAAAAAAACCACTCCAAGAAGCATATCAAACAGTTTATATAAAGCTATCCTTTTTCTTCAAGCTGTATTGTAGGTCACATTTTTAAGAACCCACCACCCACTCTATCCAGATTTTAAAAGAGTGGAAATGAATATGTAACTAATTTTTACCAGAAACAATTATTTGGGAAAATAGAGGGATAACATGACCTTCTCCTCAACACATTCTCAGTAGGTACACACTGAAACAAATATATAATTGGGTAACATACTGTTTGGTTTTTTGTTTGTTTTAAATATATTTTTATTGACTTCAGAGAAGAAAAGAGAGGGAGAGATAGAAACATCAATCATGAGAGAGAATCACTGATTGGCTGCCTCCTGCATGACCTCCACTGGGGATCGAGCCCACAACCCGGACATGTGCCCTGACTGGGAATTGAGCCGTGATCTCCTATCAGTGACGGCGAACCTATGACACTCATTTTCTTGGTTGATTTTTCTTTGTTAAATGGCATTTAAATATATAAAATAAATATCAAAAATATACATCTTTGTTTTACTATGGTTGCAAATATCAAAAAATTTCTCTATGTGACACGGCACCAGAGTTAAGTTAGGGTTTTTCAAAATGCTGACACGCCGAGCTCAAAAGGTTTGCCATCACTGTGACCTAGATCATAGGTTGACGTTCAACCACTGAGCCACACTGGTTGGGCCATGGTGCTATCTTTTATTAAACATACAAAGTATGCTCTCATGTTGTTAAGTGTTTCATGCTGTCATTTAAATGGTTTCATAATTTTCATGGTGTGACTACAGGTAGTTCATGAAACTCTCTCTACTACTAGTGTTTCAGGTACGTCATTTTCCCCAGCCATTCCTATAGCCCTGCAGGTATTTTTTTAAATACCAGCTAAGGCCAGGGACCGTGCGCTGGGCACTCGCCAGAACTGCTCCCAGGACAGAATGCAGAAAAGAAATGATGGGGTTGAAAAGCAGAACAATTTTAGGTTTCAACAGAGATCATGGCTTTGCAAAAGGATTCTCAAAGAGATTGGCCACTCACGACAGACACACGGGTCTCTGCAGGAAGGACACGATGACCTCAAAAGCAACTAGGCACAGTCCCCAAAACGCTGCCTTCAGAACCAGGGGGTGCCTGGCTTCGATAACTTGTGTCAGAATCCTAAGTTCGTTAGAACTCCCTTACCAACTGTTTTAAACGTTGTGTGTTACCTTTTTAGTGGGTTTCTTCTCATACTGCAGGTATCGGGATTCGACCATTTTTCCTCCTGTGGGGAACACACTGCTGGTTTATAACAGAACTACAATAGCGGTGTGTGCAGACCCGCCCGCACCGAGGACCACACCGCCTCCCCCAGAGGCAGGTGCTACTGGCCCTCCCTGCTCAACAGCTGATCCCCCTTGCTCCTCTCAGAGCCTGCCCTTCAGTACCCTCAAGTACGTATGGGACACCTATTATATGTAAGAACATTTATGGGAACCTACTGCGTGCGAAAACATGTATGAGACACCTACTGTGTACAAGTCCCAGGGCTCCGGGCAAAGCCAGAGATCCACAGGACCAGAAAGGGGACTCAGGGTGGGGCAGGTAAAGGAAGACAGACCTACCACAGACGGCCATCTGTGTGCTGCCTCCTCCTCTCTCCCCAGCTCACTCCCTGTGCTCATGACCCCAAACGCCGCTTCCCCCACTTCCTCTGACCTACTCAGGTACCACCTTTCACATACCCTCACCCCACCTCTCCTAGCTCAGGACCAACCCCCTGGACGCACTCAGCACCAAGGCCCTTTCTCAGACACAGCGCAGGTCTCCTTCCATTCCTGCCCCCGGGGCACTGAACAAGGATGGAGGAAACCCTCCTGCCCTCCAAACCTCAGGGCAGCATCCTGACCCCATGTGGGTGGTCCTCTGCTCCTGGGTAAAGAGAGTCCCTCTCTTGTTGTCAGAGCCAAGCCCCACCCCGTAAAGAAACTGCCCTGGAGCCTGGCCAGTGTGGCTCAGTGATTGAGTATCAACCTACAAACCGGTCGATTCGTGACCAGGGCACATGCTCAGGTTGCAGGCTTGATCCCCAGTGTGGACGTGCAGGAGACAGCCGATCAATGATTCTCTCTCATCATCGATGCTTCTCTCTCTCTCTCCCTTCCTCTCTGAAATAATAATAAAAAAATTAATAATAAATAAATAACATATATAAAAAAAAAAAACCTGCCCTGGAAACCCCTTTCCTCCTCACCCCCACACCACTCCTGCTCCTCTCCACAGGTCACACTGTTAATCTCCCCCCACCCCCACCTTGGCTCACCCCTACTTCTCTTTTCCTCCCTCTCCCCTTGAATCCCCGCCTCACACACATACACCTGGCTCTCACACCACCACTCCACAGAAGAAACGCATTTCAGCAAGACCATCAAGACCTCCGTGTTCCAAAGCCCATCAGCCCTTCTCAGCGAGCCGTCCTCATACTGAGCCACCAGCAGCACTGGGCACAGTGCTCGCTCACATGCCTCCCCTCCTGACACACCTGTGGCCTCCAGGCTGGCTGGCCCCTGGTGGCTGACCACAGGCTATCCGGCAGACCCACCAGCTGGTGGAGCCTGAGCACCTCTAGGCACATTACAGGCCTGGCACGACTCAGGGCGTCCTTCTGACCTAGTCACCTCCTCGCTCCCCTCAGTCGCTCTGTTCCCAGCCAACAGGCTGCTCCCGCACCTGCCCCTCCGCCCCCAGTTGCCGACTCTATTCAGCCCAGCTCTTCCTTTGGACCCATAAGCTACCCCCTTCCTGCTGTTTTTCCCACTGCATCTGTTACCATCCTCTGAACCCTGGGTCTCCTTACTTCTCCGCTCAGTGCACCGCCTGTGTCCCAGACCACAGCTCCCTGAGGGCAGGGACTTGTGTCCGTTTGGCTTGCTGCTATACTCCACCACTCTGCAGGGGTTAGGTGCTCAACAAAGATCAAATGCATGATTCTGCACTTTTTCTTGGTGCCTGTAGAGCTCAGTCTCTCCCTTTCTACTGAAGAGACCCAGGGAGAGTGATGGTCAACATCACACAGTTTAACAGCTAGGTGGAGCAAGACTGATTTCAAACCAGAACTTCACACCAGAATTTGCATCTTCCATTGGCAATTCCGGTAGCAGTGCCACCCCAAGAGGAAAGGAGGTGCACCAGTTAACAGGGAGCCTGGTGCGGGCCATGGAGGCGGTGGTCACCCTGAGCATGCTCCAGGCAGGGAAGAGCTGTGCCTATGGGCTCAGAGCACGAGTGGGCTCAGGCCATCAGGAAGGAGGCCCTAGAGTGAAGGCTGGGTCAGGCGGGGTCCAGGAAGAGAATCAAGCCAACCCCAGTGTCTGCCACCGGACATGAGGGACTGGGGCAAAGGACACCCCTGGTTCCCAGCAGACATGGCCTTCTGTGTTGGGTGTTGCACAGCCAGGAAAAAACCTGAGGCTCTGGGACAATTGAAAGCAGTTTCAAGTTTCCAAAAAACTGGTATGCATCTGTTTGTTTTAAACGGTGGTGGGTTTTCCACAGCGGCGATGTTACAGTGAAGGACAGAATTTGTGTTCAAGAACCAGACCGCACGTAAATAGATGTTACAGACAAGATGCTGCTCTAAGTTCTCTGAGACACTACCACAGAGCACACTTGAAGAGAATACAGTGGGGCCTTGACTTACGAGTTTAATTCGTTCGGAGACGGAGCTCCTTAACTCAAATTACTCTGTCAACTCGAGGCAAAAAATCAGCCGAGAGACAGCTGGTATCTCAAAAAACTTGTTAGTCGGGACACTCGTAAGTCAAGGCCCCACTGTATTTCATTTCGGAGGCTGCAGCTCCAACATGGGAGATCCTCAAGAGTCCACTGGGCACTGCCAAGAATCAAGGGAGCTGTTCACAATGACCCCAAACCCTCAGGTGGACAAGGGACATAGGGCACCCCCAAAGGACTGATAGGCTTTCAGAGAAGAGACTCAGGAAATTCTGATGTTTGGTAATGAACTCAGCTCAAGCTCTCTTCACCGACCCTTCCAAGTGACAAGTCCTGGGCATAGCCCCAAATGAGCCCTACCGGGTCCTGCCACAACCCTGGGTGCAGGCGGGGCTGGGTGACCAGACTAGAAATCTCCCAAGATGTGAACAGAAGAAGGTAAAACCGTATCTCCCTTACTCTGCTGTTTTGTTTTTTTTATTCCCCAAAAACAGTTACTAGAAAAAAAAATCACGTTTTATTTCATGGGATCGTTAGGTAGATTCTAACTTGACTCACCTTGTGTTTGCTTTCCTTTCGGCTTGGGGCCACTAGGAGTACTGGGGTCCCCTGCAGAAGGCAACCTAAAAGAGAGGGGCAAGGTCTTGTTGATGTAATTGACAAGTAGCTGAGGGAAGCCCGTGAGCAGCTCCAGTTTCTCTTCGAAGCTGGGCCACCTCGACAGGAAGAACGTGGAGTCCCATCACCTGGGTGACACAGCGTCGCCCCACAGAGCAAGAAGAGCGGACATTTTTGCCAAACTTCAAAGATCTCAACCTCTGTCATGAGTTCATTAATTCAGCAGGTGGCTATGTGCCTGCTGTCTGCCCCTGGGGTGCACGGTGAACGGCAGGTGGAACTCCCTCTGTGAGAGGGAAGAGCAGCATCTTTCTGTTGGGCAAGTGTGAAGGTACCCCAGACAGGTAACGGGGTGAGGGAGGTGGTAATGCACCTTTTGCTCAGGTACGTTGGGAAGGACATCCTAAGACAGGGATCAACAAGACCAAGGGTATGAGGGCGGGCAATGGAGAATGATGTGGAAGCGGGAAATGACCAGCCCTATGGCTTAGCTAGAGAACACTGGCAGGGGAATGGGATCAGGAGGAGAGCACCCTGGGCCCGCCGGCAGCTCTGAATGCCCAATGTAAGGGCTTGCACCTGGTCCTACAGGCCGGGGTTGGCAATCTTTCTCTGTAAAGGGCCAGATGGTAAATATTTTCAGCTCTGTGGGCCATGTGCTTAGTCGCAACTACTCAACCTTGCCATCGTATCACAAAGCAGCCACGGATGATGCGGAAAGAAACAGATATGACTATGTCTCAATAAAACTTTATTTAAACAATGACATTTGAAGTTCATACAATTTTCGTATGTCCAAACATTCTTCTTCTATTGATGTTTTTTAACCACCATTTAAGAATGTACAAACCATTCTCAGTTCACCAGCCCTACAAAAAAGGGGGGGCTCTGGCTTTCACTGTAGCCCCTGGGGAACAGACGCTGTCAGAGCCATGCTTCATGAAGACTGCTGGCAGCCGGGAAGAAGACAGGCTCTGAGGTTCTAGGACAGGGACCGGGTCTGCTCCTCACCATCCCACTGTGCCTATATATTCATCTGCTCGAGCTTCCATCACAAAATATAAGACTAGGAGGCTCAAACAGCAGACTTTTAAAAATCCTTTGTTTAGTATTACATGTCTCCTTTTCCCCCCAGTGACCTCTCCCTGCCCCCCCCCACCCCCCAGCACATGCCCTCACCCCCCCAGTGTCTGTGTCCCTTGCTTATCCTTATATGCATGCATACAAGTCCTTTGGTTGATCTCTTACTCCCCCACCACCACCCGCCGCCCCTCTGAAGTTTGACGATCAGACTTTTTTAAAAATTCTCACCCAAGGATATGTTTTTTATTGATTTTTAGAAAGAAGGAAGGGAGAGGGAGAGAGAGAGAAACATCAATGTGAGAAAGAAACATTGATTGGCCACCTCCTGCCGGATCGAACCCACAACCTGGGTATGTGCACTCACTGGGGCAGGAATGGGGAGAGCTAATGGGATATAGAGTTTCCTTCTGGACTGAAGGAAACATTCTAGGACAGAGGTGGTGGATGCACGACATTGTGAATGTCTTTATGCCATGGAACTGCCCACCTTACAATGATTAATTTAATGTCCTGAAAGAAAGAATGAAGCCTGATGTACTAGATGAGGGAACAATGAGGTAGGAATGGCTGACAAATCAGCTGTGGGGTGCGGGGGAGTCTGGAATGCCTCCCAGGTTTCCAGTCTGGGGAATGGGAAGAAGCAGGGACGCCAGGAACAGGGGACGAGCCATGCAGTGGGAGCAGGTGGAGGGGCCAGGTTGAGCCCTGGGCTCTTTGACTCCTGCTGACATCACAGGCTCCACTAGTTGCAGCAGCAGAGGTCACCTGCTCAGTTCGCTGTAGCCACCTCCTGTGGAGCTGGGCTGGGGGACCCCCAATTGAGACCCAGGCCATGGTGAGAGGCATCTCCAACCCTACAAATACGTACCTACCTTTGGCCTGCTTTATCTGTTTTCCAGACAAGGGCCTGAGCTTCAACAGGTCACCCCTAGTTGGTCTCAATGCTGGAAAGAGAAAGAGCAAGGATTCCCTGGGATCTAAGTCAGGGCTCTGGAGCCAAACAAAATGAGCTCAGGCCGAAACTGCAGGGACCTGGGGTTGGGGTCACCACACCTGTGCCAGCCTCAGGTACCACCCGGGTACTGTAGCTCAGAGAAGCTAACATCAATCTCACAGTTAGGGCAAAGGGCTGAGGAGGAAATACAAGTGATTTCTGGGGCCCGTTTAATTTTCATTCTTATTGGCACAATAAGCATTAGCCGAATGAACAAATAAGACAAAACACAGCCCTGGATCACGCCTGGCACCGGGTATGTGTTCCACGCCTTTCTTGTTCTTGCCTTGTGCCTCTGGGCAAATAACCGTCCCTCCCTGTGCCCCCATCACCTCATCAGTAAATGGGAAGCATATACGAAGGCGGGTGGGACGAGTCAGAGAGATCTTGTATTGGCCCAGCACATGTCCGCTCCAAAGTGATTGTTCTAACAGCGACAGGCCACCCTTACGGGTCAGGCATGTTCTAAGTCAGTGGTTCTCAACCTTCCTAATGCCGCGACCCTGTAATGCAGTTCCTCCTGTTGTGGCGACCCCCAACCATAAAATTATTTTTGTTGCTACTTCATAACTGTAATTTTGCCACTGTTATGAATCGTCATGTAAATATCTGATATGCAGGATATATTTTCATTGTTACAAATTGAACATGATTAAAGCATAGTGATTAATCACAAAAACAATATGTAATTATATATGTGTTTTCCGATGGTCTAGGCGACCCCCGTGAAAGGGTCGATCGACCCCCAAAGGGGTCGCGACCCACAGGTTGAGAACCTCTGTTCTAAGTGCTTTCAAAGCTCACGTGAGACCTACACGTTGAGCGGTGGTGTGATCAGTCCCTTTTCGCAACCGAGGACGCGAGGCTCGGAGAATTTAAGTCACTGGCCGGGATGACCCCCATCGAAGCGGCAGACCTGGGACTCGAACTCGCGGTCTACCCTACGCGCCCGCTTTCCCAGCATGCGCGGAGGTCGCACCCGGGGCTTCCCCGAACCTGCGCATCTTTGCTGGCTCCTAGAAGGGTCAGGTCCCGACTCTCACCCCGAGGGTCCCCGTTTCCCAACTTTGCTGCTCGCTGCCCCCAGCCGTTGGCCAAGGGCTTCCCTCCGGCAACCACAAATTCCAGACCCGCGGGATTTCAACTCACCCAGAGCCGCGCCCCGAGGAGTCCGCCATTTTCCCGCCTTCAGCTCAAAGGCGGGCTCGTCAAGTTCCCTTGCCCCGAGCCCTCCGGAGGGGTGGCCGCGGGCCACCGGGGAGAGCAGCTGCAGGCGGAGCGGGAGAGCCCAGCGCGCGCCTCGCGGTCCTCCCCCACCCCTGG